AAAAAAACAGTGAAACTAGTCTACACTGGCTTTATTGTATTTGTCTAGCATGGTGCTATGGTTTCGTGCCATCTGCCATGTATTCGTATTCTATAATGGGAAACTAAGGCAGCTTTATTTTTTATCCACATTTTTACTTTTGAACCCTATGATGGGAAGTGGGAAACTAATGGTTCGTAGAGCCAAAGGAATTGCAGGAAAATTGATAGAGTGGCTGCTGATATTGTACGATTTTTTAATTTCCTTTTCAAACATGCATTAGAACTGTAAATAACAACTGGATAAAAGGTTGTACAAGTTGGTTATATTTCTTGTTTCTTCTGAATTTATACATTTTTTTTTATTAATTTTATATATCAAACACATAATTCATTATTTATTTCTCATCACTTTAAAAATAACAAGTATTTGACACTGTGCATTTGCACAGATATAAATAAAGTATTATAAGTTATTTGTATTTATATATATTAAAATTATAAGTTAGATAATGATATTAAATTTCAAATACAGAGTATTATATATATATATATTTATGTATAAAATATTAAAATTATAAGTTTGATACTGACATTATATTTTAAAATTTGATCATTGGTTAAAATAAATAGTAGATAATGATTTCATTGCAGATGAATCACTATATTGATTGTATAAAATGTAATAAATAACGTATTTTGTAGTTCTGAGGGAACATGACAAATTAATTAGCTGAAAAATATTAAACTTGTTAAAAAAATTTCCTATGTGGTTTTAAAAAATTTTACTTTGACATTAAGATAAATTAATTTATTTGAACACAAAATTTTTACAGTATAATTTTTTATGTTTATGTAACTTACTTATATCATTTAGTGTAAAATATAATTATTAAATTTAATAATAACTATTATATGATAATAAAAAAATATAATTATTATTCAATTAATATAATAAGTAACAAATTTTGTATTAATTAACCAAAAAAAGTGCAAGAATTTTTTTTATCATTAATGGGATATAGTGAATTAATGTAATGATAATAATAATAATAATAATAATAATAATAAATATTATTATTATTATAGTGTAACAGTTTATTAGGTAAAATTTATTGTTCAGCTAATAATTATATATATAGATTAAACAAATTATTTTAAATAAATAAAATAGTTAAAAATAGCCTAGCCAAAAAAATAAAAAAATATAAAAATCTGACTACTATGAAAATATCCCAAGCGCGCGGGAGAGAATCCACATTAATGCTTAAGGATAAGCAAGGAATTATATAGGTTTTTTTTTTTTTTTGGTACATAGACGGGGCTAGGCCCCAGGAATTACGATACTAGAATACGACGTGGATAAATCGTCCCACTGATGTCGTGGTCGAGCAAAGTCTCCAACTCTTTTGGAGGCACTCCAAGCGGAGAATCAACCGCTAGTTTAGCCATCTGGTCAGCTGCAAAATTGACTTCCCGATGTACATGGAGAATTCGCACATTCCAGTCTCTGCTCATCAAATCCTTAATCGCTCGGACTAGGGAATCGTTGGCCCCAGATTCATTCTGTGGCCCTAAGATCATATTCAACACACTTTGACTGTCGACTTCAGCTACCACTTGTCGGAATCCTAGCTCCCACACCAACATTAGCCCTTGAAATATGCTCCACAAATATGCCCCCGTAGTAGTGCCTATGCCAATATTCATAAAAAAAACCCTCGACCCAATTACCAATGGCATTTCGAACCAAACCACCCGAGGTGCGATTAAAGGATCCGTCAGAATTCATTTTGACCGGCGGTTGCCAATAAATCATGCAAAGTGAAAAGGATGCCGCACCTGCTCGCGAGTAAGGAATTATGTAGGTTGCCTATGAATATTTGACCATCTTTTTAATTCTTTCAACCTGTTATTTTGACCATAATTATACGCATTTAAGATTAAAAATCTATTAATCAAAAAAATTAATTAACGAACCTGACTCATAATGACCAAAGATTGCTGGCAACAGAGAACCCTCAAAATTATAGAAAAAAAAAACCCACTTAAACATGCAGCAGCTCACAAAAAACACACTTGATATAAACATCCAAACACAAGTTCACCAAACAAGCCAAACATAACATCCGCATGACAAAAGCCCCAACAGAAATGTTATTCTCCAGATTAGTTCTAATTATATCACTTACTCAACCTTGATGACCCTTTTCATCCTGGGAAGGAAAACTTTCAAAACCCCGTCCTTCATGTTAGCTGTCATCTGGTCGGTATTGTATAGATCCTTCGGTATCCAGCCGTCGGGGCTCTCGTACTCCATCTTCGTCTCTTCTGCCTGCTCCTCAAAATCCTTCTTCGTCCCCTCAATGCACAGCTTCCCACGGTTGACCGACACCTTCACATTTTCCCTTTTCACTCCGGGCAGGAAAGCATTTATGTGCACTCCGTCGTGGTCAAGCTTCAACTTGGCGCCATAGCCGTTGATGTCCACGTGTTTGCCACAGTGAGAAACTGCAATCACATTTACATTTCAGCAAAACAAGCACAAAATTATTAGATGCGGTAAAGAGTTGGAAAAAATCACCAGAAAATCGGTTATGCATACAGAGGCGAACAAATAGATCCAAGCATATTTAAGAATATAAACCTATCCTGAAACAACCATTTTTTTTGTTCTTCTAATTTAAGAGGCAAAATCGACTAGATCTAGATTACAGGAACAATTAATCGCGAACCACACACATGTACTATTGGTGAATCAAATCCGTTTTCTGTACATACATCAACTCAAAGTGTAGATCCGAACAGAGCACCAAACGCCAAGACGTTGAAAAGTTAAATTTCTATGAATGAACTGGAATTTTCAACTTATTTACAAGTTTCAGGTGGGAAACAACAAATCAACACACGAACTGGTAAACCAAATCAGCTTAAGGCCACTCGTTTACATACCATTCATATAAAGAGAGAATATAAACAACTGCAAAAATGAGGGACGAGAAATAGAAAACGAAGTACCAGCGCCGAAGAGCGAAACGAAGGTGGGGAAACCTTCACCGACGTCGTCATCGGAGTCGGTATCAGGAACGATGTCCGGGCTAAAGTAGCATCTGTAGGCAGCTGGTCGACTCGCCGTGAAGGGCGGAAGCTGGACGGTCGGGCTGATGTGCTTCGTAGAGAGGAAGGAGGCAGTCGGATGGAGAGATCCGCCAAGGTGAGAGTTGATAAGTTTCAGGCGGTTGAGAAAGAGAGATGCTGCCATTGCTGAGATTGAAAGGTGCTTACGTACTATTAGAAGCTTGTTGAAGACGATGCAGCTAGCAAGGTGCCCTGGGCTGGCCGATGGAGGATAGAGAAACTTCTGATGGAAATGAGGGCCGTGAAATGGGCTTACTGTTATAAACTTCTGAAATGATTACTTGACATCTGGCCCAAAGCGTTGCATTTTTAGCGAGTAAACTAAGCTTGTTCACAAGCTACTTGAGAATGTTCACTTTAGATGTGTATGATTATTTCACGAAATGATGAAAATAATCTAAATATAAAATTAGATCCACAATAAATTTTGAGTTTATAAACTTGGACAAAAAGCGTGACTTAGAAATTTTATTAAGGATATTCCTTAATTAGTTGAGTAAATTGTGCTTACTATGAAACGGTTATTGGAACGACACAAAGTAGTTTGTACAACAGTAAGTTTAGACATACGTGACGCTTAATTTCATAAAACAAGTTATCACGTGTGAGGGTTATATCAGTTGACTATGTGAAGTCAAAGCTAAATCTAACGGATCTTTATACACAAAACATGAAACGAGCTGAATTGTAACGAACCGTCTTAGTGGTAAATCGACCATGAGCATCGGAGATCCTGAAACCTTTTTTCAGTGAAAAAACTAAGTTTTGACAGTTCAATGAAACACTTGAAAATTTCAATCATTCCAAGAACCAAAGTGTGAGGTTAAGTCGAGGACTTTTAATATTACTATACCTACGAATGGAGGAAGGCATGATACTATTTATAGGAAAATCAGCTTTGTATAGACAGCTTCAATTAAACACCTATTAAACTGAGATATCCAAGGCTGAAATGGACAGAATTTGAAGACAAAAAATTGTTAGAGCTGTTGTTGTGTGAGTACTATTGTCTTGATGTACATGAACAACCGGTAAGTTCAAAGCATCACGCTACTAACCTGTTAGTGTATTTGATAGTACTATTTCACTAAAAAATATTCAAAGCCACAAGCTATCTATCCTGATGCAATGGCAGTCCACTGGTACTCTCAAGTATTGCATACATGCATTAATTTTATTCAGGTGGGGGATCGCGAGAAAAAATAGTTTTGTTCCGATTTAGTAGTTACATTTTTTGTAAGTAGAAGACATAAAAAATTCTCAAAATCATTTTAAGGCGAATGCTAAATTATTTCTAAGGCCTCGTTTACTTACTAAGATGGGATGGGATACCCACCTTAACCAACCTTATTATGCATTTATTATACATGATTGGGACTAGAACTTAACTCATGTGGCATGTGGGTCCCACGCGGAGATGCATATGTAGCTGGATAATTCAATCTCATCAAATAAGTGGGATATTGTTGTCCCACTAATGAAATGACCATTTTGTCCAAAATATAATATTATTTAATTTAAAATAATTATTTTGTAAAAAATATTAATTTAAATAATTTTAATTTTTTGAATAATATTAATAGATTATTTAATTTTTATTATAAAAATGTAATTATTTATTTATTTTGTATGTACAATATAGATGTCAAATCTCAACTCATCATGGGATTATCAATTTGATAATGTAGGAGTTGATGGTATCTTTTTCTTGTGCTATTTCTCGTATCATTTTGTCCATGTTAGTATATGTTTGATTGTTTTTGCCTTAAAATGCGTCATGTTTTGTAAACAGAAAAATAAATACTGACGTGTAAAGTGGGTGGGATAAATCTGAATGATATATCCTGGTAAGTAAACGAGACCTAAGTGTTACATGTGGAATGATTGAGTTTAAGTAACTCAAATGTTGTAGGGTTAACAATTATTCTATTTTTATGAATGTTTGGACAAACTAAATGAGTCATAATCATGCATTATGTATGCTAGAATTGTTGAATGGCATGTTGGGGACGAGTAGAAAAAAATAGAACTCGATTATGAGTCCGGACGAGCGCGTACCACCTCATGATGCACAGCTGCACGCAGAGCCCCACCACTGGCGCGATGGCCTATTCTGTTTTGCGGAAGGGCGCGATACCAAAAAGGTCCTATTCAGTTTTGGTCGACCGAGCACGTCCCAAAATGTGTCTTTTGATGTCTTGAACCCCTTGGAGATGTGTTAGAACATTTATATTTTCGTGAAGTGAACACTACAACATAAATAGCTTTAGGTAGCACCAAAAAAATGATACATAAAGGCTATAAAATGTTATTATAGACAATAGGTAACACAATTATTGGCGCTACAGTTGCTCGTGCTACCTATTGTCTTAGGTAACACTTGTATCATCTTTTTGTAACACATTTGTTTTGTGTTGCATTATATAATTAAGTGTAACACTTGAAGGTAACAGTTACAAAATGTCATCTATGATCTTTTCTGCTACCTATTCTGGTTCATTGTATCACTTATATCCTTATACTATAAGGGGTCGTTTACTTTGAATGATGGGATAAGACAAATTAATCATACCCACTTTCCATGTCAGCATTTAGTCCTTTATTTACTTTTTGGGATGGAATTTGCATAAATGAATCCCTCATTTACTTCCATGGATTAAATGAGATGAGGGTAAAAAAGGTATAAAAAAACGGAATTAAATTATCAGAGGTCCATGCCGGGATTTTTTTATCAGAAAGTGACGGATGGAAGGCTGCCACCTGTGCGCCATGTCATTAAAATCCTGTCCCAAACCCGCGAAGTAAATGTCGGATAGCCGGGACTAATTTTCTTATCCTGTCCCAAACCCGCGAAGTAAACGACCCCTAACACTTTTAATTATTAGTGTAACATTCTAATTTATAACAAGTATCACACTTTCTGTTCTAATGTAACATACACATATTTGAATTTGTAGCAGTTCAATTGTTTGGCATTATTCTGAATCTTTTGTAACAAATAAAATTTGATAAATAAACATGCAATTAATTATTAAATGTACATTTATGTCACCATACATAAAAAAAAAAAAAGCAAACTAAAATGCTCTTTACTATCAATACCTAAAACAAAAACATGACCAATCAAGACATAGTGATGCAGACCCTAGTAAGATATTGTCCGCTTTGGGCTACTTCTGCCACCCGCACGGCTTTGTTCTTGGCTGGGCTTCAATACACACCCACCAAAACGCGTCTTACTAGTGAAAGTATCCACATCCTCATATAAGGCATGCTTCGTTTCCTTTCAAACCCGATGTGGGATGCGCTGCATCATCCACCCCCCCTTGTGGGCCCAGCGGTCACCGCTGGCACATGGGCTGACTCTGATACCAACTGATGCAGACCCTAGTAAGATATTGTCCGCTTTGGGCTACTTCTGCCACCCGCACGTCTTTGTTCTTGGCTGGGCTTCAATACACACCCACCAAAACGCGTCTTATTAGTGAAAGTATCCACATCCTCATATAAGGCATGCTTCGTTTCCTTTCAAACCCGATGTGGGATGCGCTGCATCACATAGTTTGTCAAAATTGAATAAATGTCTTCGTAATGTTTATCATCACCGTCGTCATCACTTGCAAGCTCCAATCCTGATCGATATATTGAAGCTGATAAGCCCATGAATGTGAATTTGCTCCTTCATATACATCATCGTCCTGAAAATAATTATGTACACTTCATTAGTAAACATAGCTTTAACAATGCTACAAATTTTAACAAAAGTAAAAATAGACAATCTACAAATATGCAGTCAACCTAGGCATACGAATGTAAGCAAAAAACTAAATGAAAAAACAATACACTAATACATGCTAATTTAAACTTATCCTATAATGTAATTCTTTAGGGCAATAGATATAACTATTTCAATGATTATGTTGTTCCGTTCAAATCAATCAATCTACTCTAGTCAATGACATAATGTTTTTAACTTGTATAGGAATCTATATCTATATAATGGACCAATCCTTATTGTCATAATTGTCATAATTTTGAGCGGAAAATTTTTTTGGCTAAATTTGGCATTTGATTAATATTTATTTATTAGAAAATCTTATATATCAAAAACATAATTATTTTTTATACACTCAATGATTGTTACTCATTAATTACAAATTAGTTTAAACTGAAATTTTGACTAGATTTATTAGATATATTTTCAATAAGATCTTACATTAATTTAATAGTAATTTATTGATACAATTCAAAAAAATTATTATGAAAATTGTTTTGATTAAATATATTATCATCTATGGTTGTAGCTATTAATCTAATTAATTATATCCACTATTTATAAGTACCTAAAATATTTAATAAAATAATAAGAATAACTATTGTAAATCATAATAACTTAATAAATATTTTAAAATATTAATAAAAGTTTCTAAAATGTAGTCAATTTAATTATAAAAATGTACATCACATTGAATATATCATATTATACTAATGAAAATTTAAATAACATATAAATAAAAATAAATTTTGATGGTCGGGTGCAATTCATAATTATAAATTTCACCTTAGAAGTATCTATGTACATTATAAAACTATTCAATTTTTAAAAATTTAATTTTTTTTCTTATATACTATTTTATAAAGAACGAATAAGTTAATAAAAAAACAATGTATAATAATATAAAATATAGAACTTATTAATTATGGAAATATATAATATATCTAAATACTCAAATAGATACTACATAACTCATTATATAGGTTGAAAAAATGAATTAGAGAAATAAATATAAATAAAAATAAAAACATAAAAATAAAATATTTAACCATAAAAATTTATGTGTTGAATAAGGATTAAAGTTACTAAAAATTAAAATTTTATTTATCAAAGTTTTGAACTTTTAATGCATTTAATAATTATAACGGAAGATAAATATTATGGGTTAAACGTTGGTCAGTCATCAATCAATGCGCAAATTATGAATTATTGAAAAAAATATAAGACTTGATAAACGGCAATTAAATAGTTCAAATTAAATAGTTCAAATACCAAAAATAGTCCAAATTAAATCTGAGAACTCCCATGGCGGCTCTCAAGTTCCAAATTCCCAACGAATAATGTCATTC